ATTATATTTAATATAAATTTATTATATGACTTGTTATATTCTTAATAGATCAAATTTATTATATAACTTATTATATTTATAGATAAAATTTATTACATGACTTATTATATTTATAGATAAAATGATATTAAGGGACTGACCATGACTGTTTTACCGACTTTGAGTTCAAGGGCTTTTCTTTTTATTGACTATACAGATTGAAAAATTCTCCACAATTAAAGTACTGATAAGAATGAACGGGAGCGTTGTAATTTTGTATAAAAACAATAAAAGTGAATAAATTACAAATATTAAAACCGTGTATTCGGTCGTCATTAATTAAACAATATTTAGTATATAAAAAAGCCAACTAATCGAGCATTATTAGATAATTAAACTAAGTATTTATTCTATATAAGATAATACAGTACAAACGTTTCGAACCGCACGCAGTCTTTCTTCACTATAGGAATTAAAAGTAGATGATCATAAGTGATTGTAAGTCGCAATTTTATCGTCGAATTAGTGCATGTCGTGTTGAGTCAAATTACAAAACGTCAGTATAAGATCGGCATAATTTATAACTTAGTTGATAGATGTTTACTATTATCACATCCACAACTTTTTAATAAAAACTTGATATTAATTATTGACATATTAAGAAGCAACGGTTATCCCTGGATCTCATTTTTAATAAAATCAACCATTGATACGGCATCTTATTTCCAAAAAAAGTATCTTAAATAGACACAGTAAAAGACAAATAGGCAATTCAGAAAAAGAATCAGTACCAAAAAATTCTTTGTTATCCCATATATCAATAAAATTTCAGAAATAATTGTCTCTTTGGTAAAAAATACGGAACTCATAACAGGATACAGATGTATCAATAAACTCGATAAAATTATTAAGTCGCAAAAAAGTATAAAATAACCAAAAAAAAAAACCCATGTTACGTATGTAACTCTTCAAAGGTAGTCTATAAGATCAATTGTAAAGATTGCATGAACGCTTCTATGTTATGTGGGGCCAAACGAAGAGACAATTGCAGACTAGAATGAAAGAACACGTTAACAACATGAAGTTAAATTCGACAAGATATTCGGTAATCTCTGATCACATATCAAATGAACATCATTCTTTTGATTGGGACAACGTTAAAATTTTAGACAGTGAAACTAATTATCATAGAAGACTCCCGAGATGTTACACATTAAGGAACAAAAAACTGGGTTAACCTAAATAAAGATACCGAGTTGCTTAGCAAATCTTATTATGATATATTGAAAAAACTAGCAAACATGTATTAATAAATTACAGTTTTTATATCGGTTTCTTGCATTAGCTCATAACAATACTTATTTAATACAAAAGTTCTGCAGTTTATTTATGCACAAAATATGACGCTCTTAATAGAGATGACATAAAAGAATAATACATAAGTAATAAAAATGAGATTAAAAGTCTGTATCAAAAGATTCGTATTTGAATTAATTATGTATGTATATTTGCATGCAAATCGATGTCGAGGCATAAAACAGCAAAATTAGTGCCGGACAGCGCTCCCTATTCATTATTATCAGTATTTTTATTGTGAAGAATTTTTCAATCTGTATATTCAATAAAAAGTGAACCTAATCTAATTTAATGTCAGTAAAACAGAACAATGGCAGCATCCCCTTAAAGATAAATAAAAATTAGAATTTAATAAATGAGTTTATTTGAGATCTCATTTCAATTTATTAATTTTGTGCATGACATCCGCACAGGCTTCATTTTTATTGTAACACAATAATTTGAGCCGAGATCAAAAGTTTTTATTTAAATAAAAATATTTTTTAGTAAAATTTTAGTAAAAAAAGTGATGGCAAAAGACCTGTTTTTTTCACCCATTTTATAGGATCGTATTTTAAGACCTCAAATTTTAAACTTTTTTTATGCCAAATAGTACTATATGATGAGACATTAATCCTAGAGTTTCAAGATGAACAGGCTCGGTTCCTTAGATATGAAGAAGTGAAAGTGATAATTTCTCATATAACTGGCTAAAAATCATCACTTTCCTCCTTGTGTCTCCGGAACCATGTCTATGCTCATCTTGAAATTTTACTGGGATTAATGTTTTATCTAATAGTACTATTTGCCATGAAAAAAAGTTTGAAATTTCAGGTCCCAAAATGGGCAAAATTTGCTATCTCTTTTTAGTTTTTACTTACATTTTTTATCTATTATTAAATATAATTTTGTCTATATTAGACAACACAACGCGCGTTTCGCGCGCGCTATTGATATTGTTTTTCTTTTTATTTTAATTGTCAAATTATTAATCTCGCGATGACAGTTGCTTGATACTTTCAGTTTAACAACAAAGCGACTCGAGAAACAATCAGCACCGCAGAAAAGCGGCAACAATATTTGCGGGAATACTCTTTTTAAAAAGGGATATAATTTTAATTCCCGAATTTTTATTATGTATTACATTAACGCTATATATAATCTTAATATATATAATTATTATATATATATATATATATATTTTAATTTGTTGAATTTCTAATATGTACAAAATTTTAATTCTCGAATTTCTATTATGTACATAATTTTAGTTACCGAATTTCTATTATGAGCATTATTTTAATTCGTCGGATTTCTATTATGTACATAATGGGATAAATAATTTTTACGGTACTGGCTAATAAATATTTAATAATCACCACAACATTTCGACCATGGGTTTTGGTCATTATCAAGTGTACTTAAAATTAAAACCGTATATACATATTATGCAAACAAAACTTCTTATCATCGATTATCATAGTGTGACAAGAAGTTTCGTTCGCATCCCAGATAGTACAAGCTATTCGAAAATAATTCATTTGTATGTCACCAATTTTGAGTACCTTTTCAAATACACATAGAATTCATTTTACAAAATGAATTCTATATGTATTTGAAAAGGAACTCAAAATTGGTGACATACAAATGAGTTCTTTTGAATAGCTTGTGCTATCTGGGATAATATGTATACGGTTTTTAATTTTAAATATACTTGATAAGGACCAAAACCCATGGTCGAAACGTGGTGGTGATTATTAAATATTGTATTTATTAGCCAATATCGGTCGTAAAAATTATTTATCCTTTTAAATATTGACTGGCAACATCAAGAATTTGATTATTTATGTACATAATATTAATTTGCCGAATATTTATTATGTATATAATAAAAATACAGGAATTATATTTATATACATAATAGATATTCGGTGAATTAAAATTATGTACTTAAATAATAGAAATTCGAGAATTAATATTCTGTACATAATAGAAATTCGATGAATTAAAATCATATTATATGTATATGATAGAATGCGATGATTTAAATATATGTACGTTTGTACATATAAGAGAAATTCGATAACTAATATTATACATATACATAATAGAAATTCGGGAATTAGTATTATGCACATAATAGAAATACGGTGAATTAAAATTATGTATGATATAAAAATTCGGCGAATTAAAATTATGTATATAATGGAAATTCGCTTACTTACATTCAGCTCTGCTGTTTTCTTGACAATATAAGTTGAATGACAGCACATACAGCATTATATGAAATTAAATATGATCTTCTGAATGTATACGAATACGCACGAATGCAGAACACAAAATAATTAATATCTTAATATATTTATATAAAATTTATATAAATTTTATTTTGACAACTGTCAAACTGTTAACCCGCTCAACTGCTGCTCGATTCTATGAATCTAATGCATAACAACGGCAAATCGAGACAGCCAATCAGCATTGCGGAAAAGCGACGACAATGTCAATAACATGCCTTTTTAGAAAGGGGATTATCCAATTTCACAAGTGTTTACTGTATGTAATATAGAATGATAAAATCGACTTCTTCCTTTTCTCATAAAGCATGCCCCTGTCGGTAACCAGATAGACAACCCAATATAATGATGTGTATGTATATCGGAAACACCCTGTATATACTTAACGAATAAAAGACCTGAATAACTCTGCGCAACAAATATAATATTTAAAATATTAGTTTCAGCTTGTTTATCATGTTAAATCGTTAAAAATAATAAAATTTAATTTTCGATATTTTGAAATTTTACTATCTTTGCTATTTTATAATAAAAAGAATTTATGCTACTTATTCACACAAAATTTACCTTACAAGGTGAGAAATCATCGGTGTTCCACGACTTACAGGAAACTTTACTTCTGGATATAAATTAAATATTTGCGGTTGTAATCCTGTATTATAAAGTTTTCCAATTCTATCTAAAAATATTTCAATATTTGGTTTTTCACAGAATTTGTATAACGCAATATTTGTCACTGTTGTTTTTAAGGAATCATTAAAAATGTATTGTAACGTGTTGTGCGGCGCTATCTCAATCGTTACTGCGTTATTTGGAATAAAACGCATAGCTTCTGAAAATAACACTGAGTCTACCAGAGAATTTGCATAATATTTTGCTAGACATAATTCTGTAGATATGCTGAACACATTCCATTTTGAAGTCGGAGACACTTTCTCTGGCAATATTTGATTCAAATATTCCAAAAGTTTAAGTTTTGCGGGCCTGACATAACGACTATGAAATGGTATTCCTCCAGAGGAAACTTCTTTTACAAGAACATTATTATTCTAAATAACAATAAATTTTACTATTTATTAAATTCTATATAATTATATATAAACATGATAAATATTATGTATACTATTTTCAAACCTGTAGCTTAGCGAGAAATGCTCTTACAGAGTTTGTTGGTCCACTCACAATACAATTATGGGAACTATTATAACAAGCTACATCAATATCCAATGGACACATATTTTTCATAGTCTCGAAATCGAGATTAATTTCAGCCATTAAGCCATCTATTATTTCTGACTTAAGAAATGCTAAACCGACATAATATGCCAACATGATAGTTTCTTCCGCCGTCAAACATCCATCAGTATATCCACAAATCAACTCGCCAATAGATTGACCTATTATAATATCAGGAGTGATACCAATGCTTGTTAAAAGATCAACTATTCCAATCTGCAATACATATAAACCATCTAATTTTCTATTTTTATCGAATAAAATGTTATAAAATATTACGTATTTAACACTATTTCTGCATACAATTATCTATATGTAACAGGATTTATAAATTTCAGTTTTCTTATAAAAAGCTTTACCTTGTTATGAAATACTAATTTTTAAAGATATTTTTAGTTTTATAAAGTTTTATAAAAAGTATGTAATACAAAAAATCCTGCAACATATTACAATCTATTTTATTTATACATATATGTTTATACCTGTAATCCAATAAGGCCTACGATTAAATTGACTACGTTGTCGAGAACATTTTTATGTTCACTTACTAAAATATCTGTGACACATATACCGTGAGATTTCAAAACAATATCACATTTTTGAATTGATTTAATAAATGGTGGAAATTTCATTAAAGCTCGACCTACCAATATTTTAAAAGAATATAATGATATTAAAATTATTAATTATTATAATGATATTGTTACGTAATGTTGTTGAATCACACACACAAATGATTTAATTTTTACATAATTGATCTAAACATACATAAATACTAGATATTATTTATTTTTATTTTGTACGTTATTCTTACATTATTATTATACAATATTTTAGTTTAGTTTATATAAAATTTAATTGTTATATTTAATAAATGTAACTCAAAGAATTACAAAATTTGCAAATTAGAAATATTATAACTGGTAATTTTCTTATGTTTTAATATTTACAAGAATATTAACATTTGTATATAATTCAAAAGTTATTAAATGTTAATATCCAACAAATATGTTGCATCTTATCAATTATACGTATTGTAATAGAATATTTTATTTACTAACCCATATTAAGACATTGAAATCCAATTCCAGAAAATATGAAGCAAATTGGTCTTTTACACAAATTGTGTTCTATTTTAACTATTTTTTTATCTGATATTTTAGAGCCAGCAATTATATATCCTCTGTAGGAATGACCTTCTATATTGCTGCTATGAATATGATGTAGCAGAGAAATATATTCTACATCTATCGATCGACTCTGTACCTATAGAAATATTATAATATAATATTGTTATATATGGCCATTAAAAAATTAAAGTTGCAAATTCATATAAAAATGTACTTAAAAAATTATGATATCACAACCGTAGCATCAAGTAAAAGTAGAAATTTGTATCAATAAAAAATTAAAGTTGCAAACCCATATAGTAAAATTAGACTTAAAAAGAGCAAAACTTCATAAAAAATTACGACCAAGCTGAATTTTTGTGGAGATCTTTATTTTGATGTTCTAATGAAATCTGGAAAGTATCCTTAATTTCATCTAGGGCATTTTTTTATGGAGGGGGGGGGTAAAAGGGGGTAAGGGGGTAAATTTTAGTTTTTTGTCATTATCTCAAAAACTATCAATTTTTCGAGAAAAATAGTTATTTTCAAAATTATAACTCATAAAATTCTCTACAAAAAAGGCCATTCTACTTTTTTTTTCGTGCAACTAATCGTTTTGAGTAAAACGTGCGGTAAAATTGAAATGAAATGTTTTATTCGTAAAAAATACGTATACTCCTTTCCATACCGCGAGGATAGAGTATTATATTTAGCTTTTAGTTTCTCTGTAGATACTTAAAAAATCTTTTTCGACAACAAAATATTTCTAGTATAATTTTTTTGCACCTCTTAATCACATATAATATTATAGGTGTCCACATTTTCTCTTTCAGACTTAATTCGCTCTATATCTTCGAAATGGTTAATTCCACGAAAAAAAGTATGACCTTTTTTGTAAGAAATTTTATGAGTTATAATTTTGATAATAACTATTTTTCTCTAAAAATTGATAGTTTTCGAGATAATGGCAAAAAACTAAAACTTACCCTCATTTATCCCCATAAAAAAGCGTCCTGGATGAAATTAAGGGTACTTTTCAGGATTTTATTTAGAACATCGAAATAAAAGTTTCCACAAAAATTCAACTTGGTTGTAATTTTTATGAAGTCAAAGTCTAATTTTACTGGACTAATATAGAATTGTATAATTAGATTTCGCTTCCAAAGCACCAGGTAATATGAGCTGAATTTCAATTTGCGCTTGAAGTTGTAAATACATATAGAATCGTATAAGAACTAAAAATTAATATAAATAAAAAATAGAATAATTTTACAATATTAAGAATATATAATTCGGCTCATCACATAAATACAACATATATATTGTACATATATCCAACAAATATGTTGCATCTTATCAATTATACGTATTGTAATAGAATATTTTATTTACTAACCCATATTAAGTATATATATTTGTACATATATCGGCTACGAGTCATACCGTGATGTCTTTTGCATCAACAAAAATTAATTTTTTGTTAATTAGGAATAGTAACATTGGTTTGGATCTCTAATTCCTGTGTTACCCCATTTTTTAACCGCCTGTAAAGTTATAGACGAGAAAAATACTGGCCCGAAAAATAATTTTAGTTAAAACAAAACTTGGCGTTAATACATTTTGAAACTAACTTTAGAATATTGTTTAATTTATAGCATATTGTTTATAGAATATTGTTTAATTTATACACACATTTATAAAATATTGTTTAATTTATAATAAATTACTACTTTTACTTGGTGGTAATTTTTTTATCATTTTTTAATACAATTTCACATGAATTTGCAACTTTAATTTTTCACTAGCGCGCGTGTATTTGGCGCCTTTTTTTACCTTTTTAAAAAGTAAATTTTTGAAGATTATGTCATTCTTTTTGTAATATACATCTATTAGTTTTATATATTTGTATTTATTTTTAATGTTATATTAATTTACTGTATATAATATATAAAGTACATGCTGTATATGAACTTCCGTTTCCGGTGCAAACGCGTGTACACGTGGATTGTGAGTGTGAGTAATTGAAGAGGGTTAGAGAATATAGAGTACAGGTGAGAAAGGAGAGGATAGTGTGGGAAGGTAGCAGAGGAGTAGTGAAAGGGTGTGAGGATAGTTGAGGAGAAAATAGAGAGAAGAAAGAGGTAAGAAAGAGAGAAATAGGTGGCTGGATGACAGCTGACAGTAGGCAGGGAGTGAAGAAAGTATAGAGAGGAAACAGAGTAAGGAGAGAAAGGAGAGTAAGCGCTAGGGAATCTCTAGGGAACTTCTAGGGAATAAAGAAAGTAAGAAACAAGGAGTAGTGAAAACACAGAGGGGCAAATAATTAGATAGAAGGAAAACAAGGGAAAAAGAGAATATAGAGAGGAAAGTGGTTAGGAAAAGAATATAAGAGTGTAGATAGCAGAATGAGCGGAAAGAAGGAAGGAATTAAGGGAAAGGAAAGAAGTGGAAGCTTAGGAAACATAGAAGAATTATTGAAGAGAAAAAAAAGAGAGTTAGAAGGAAAAAATGGAGAAGAGGGAGCGGAGATATTTAAAAGAAGTAACAAAATAACGAGATCTCCAGAGAAGGAGGGTGGAGAGGAAGGAGAGAGAGGGGAAATTAAAAAAATGCTGCAAGAGATGTGGCAGGAGATGAGGGAGATGAGAGAAGAAATGAAGGAGCAGGGAGAGAAGATAAGAGAAGAGATGGAGGAGTTAAGAAGAGATTACAAGGAACAGATTGAAAAATGGAAAGAAGAGAAGGAAGAAATGAGAGAGAACATGGAAAGTATGAAGAGGAGGATAGAAGGATTAGAGAGGAGAATAAATGAAGGGGGGGAAGAGAGAGAGAAAAGGAAGAGTTCACGGGGGGCGAAATGCAAAAAAGAGTAGGGGAGATGGAAAGGAAATGGGAGTTACTAGAAAAGGAGGAAAAAAAGAAAAACATAGTGATAAGAAATCTGGAGGTCAAGGAGGGGAAAAGAAGGGAGGGAGCAGAGAAGTTAATGGAGGAGATTGGGGCGAAAGCGAAAATAGTGAAAATAAGAAGGATAGGAGAAGATAGAGAGAAAGACAGAGAGATGGTGGTAATAGAATTAGAGAAGGAAGAGCAGAAATGGGAGGTGATGGAGAAGAAGAAGAAACTGAGAGGCAGAAAAGAAAAGATAGGTATGGACCTAACATGGAAAGAAAGGGAGGTAAGAAGGAAGTTGGGAGAAATAGCATGGAGAGAAGAGAGAAGAGGAGAGAGGACATGGATAAACAACGGCAGGATAAAAATAGGAGAAAAATGGTGGAGATGGGATGAGGTAAAAGAGGTACTGAAGGACGAGAGAGGAAACATAAGGGAAGAAGTAACGGGGGAAGAGGAGAGGAGGAAAGAAGACCTGAAGAGATAGAGAAGGAGGAAAGGAAGAAGGGGACAGATGAAGAAGGATGGAAGATAGGATTCTGGAATGTGGCGGGAGTAGGGAACAAGGATAAGGACTTTTGGAAAGGATTAGAGGAATGGGAGGTGATAGTGTTGACAGAAACATGGATGGAAGAGAAGAGTTGGAAGAAGGTCAGAAGAATGTTGCCGAAAGGATACATATGGGGAGTACAAGGAGCTAGCAGAAAGAATGAGAGGGGAAGAGCGATAGGGGGCATGATTATGGGGATGAGAAAGGAGATAGCAGAGAAAGGAGAGGAGATGGAAATGGAAAAGGAAGGCTTTGCGATAGGAAGAGTAAAGGTGGGGGGAGAAAGATGGAGGGTGATAGGAATATATGCAGGGCAAGGAATAGAGAAGGCATGTAAAGAAATGGAGCAGTGGACAGAGGAGAAAGAGAATGAGGTATACACGATAATAGGAGGGGATTTTAATGCAAGAACCGGAGAGGAAGGAGGAAGAGTGAGAGGAGAAGAAAATGTAGAAGAGGAGGGGTTAGGGGAAAGTAAAAGGAAGTCAAAGGACAGAGTAATCAACGCAGAGGGAAGAAAACTGTTAGAATTCTTGGGAGAAAGAGGATGGAGCATATTGAATGGGAACACAGAAGGAGACGAGGAGGGAGAATGGACATTTACAGGAGGGAGAGGGAACACAGTAATAGATTACGTATTGGGAGACGAGGATAGTAGAGAAAAGGTAAAAAAGTTAAGAGTAAAAGATAAAGTAGATTCAGATCATCAGCCAGTGGAGGTGGAGATAAAAGGGAAACAGAGAGAGGAGAGGAGAAAGAATCGAGGAGGGAGAAGAGGAGGAACTTGGAATGAAGAAAGGTGCAGGAGGTTCAAGGAGAAGGTAGGAGAACTAGAAGGAGGAGAAGAAGAGATAGAGGGTGAGTGGAAAAAAATGGAGGAGAGGGTAAAGGAAGCAATGAAGGTAACAGAAGAGGAAGAGAGGAAGATGAAGAAGGAGAGAAGGGGATGGTGGGATGAGGAGTGTGGAGAAAGAAAAAGGAAAGTAAGAAAGGAGCTGAGGAGGTGGAGAAGGGAAGGAGGAGAGGGAGAAGAATACAGGAGGAAAAAAGGAGAATACAGGAGGTTATGTGAGAGGAAGAAAAAAGAAGAAAACGAGAAATGGGAAAGGAGAGCAGCGGGGGCAAAAAAAGAAGCGGAAGTATGGGAAATAGTTAACAAGGAGAGAGGGAGAGAGAAGGGAATTAACGAGGAAATTGAGATGAGAGAGTGGAGAGATTATTTCATGAAGTTGCTAGGAGGAGTGGAGGAGAGGAGAGTAAGAGAGGAAAGAAAGGACAGAGGAGATAGAGAGGAAGAGGAGGAGGAAGAGGAGATAAGCAGGACAGAATTGATAGAGGCGATAAAGAAGCTGAAGAAAGGAAAAGCATCGGGGATAGATGAGATTCCAAATGAGGTATGGAAATATGGAGGAGGGAATATGGAAAATTGGGCACTGGATTTTGTAACAGAGTATGGAAAGGGGAAGGATGGCCGGAGAGATGGAAGGAGGGGGTGATAGTCCCGATAAAGAAGAAAGGAGAGGGAAAGGTGGTTGAGGATTATAGGGGAATAACGCTGATGCCGACACTGTATAAGGTATATACAATGATATTAACAGAAAGATTGAGGAAAGAGGTGGAGGAGAAAAGGATTATAAAAGAAAACCAGATGGGATTTAGGAGAGGAATGGGGACGATGGACAACATCTATGTGATGAACTATTTGATTAATAGACAACTAGAAAAGAAAGGGGGAAGGATGACAGCATTATTCGTAGATTTGAAGGCAGCGTTTGACTCGGTGGACAGGGAGAAAGTAATGGAGGCGATGGAGGAGAGCGGAATAAGGAAGGGATTGAGAAAAAGGGTGGAGGAAGTGATGAGGGAAACGGTATGCAGAATAAAGATAGGAGAAGAAATAGGAGAGAAGTTTTGGATAGAGAAAGGGGTAAGACAGGGATGTCCTCTGAGTCCGCTGCTATTCAATATCTTGATAGCGGACTTAGAGGAAAAGATGGGGAAGGTGAAAAGGGGAGGAATGAGATTAGGGGAGAGAAGAATTTACACACTGGCATACGCAGACGATATGGTGTTGCTGGTAGAGGAGGAGGAGGAACTAAGGAGCATGTTAGAGAGACTGGAAGAATATTTAGATCAAAAAAGGTTGGAACTAAATGCGAAGAAATCGAAAGTGATGAGATTTAGGAGAAAAGGAGGGAGGTGGAAAAAAAGGGAGTGGAGATGGAAAGGGGAGAGAATGGAGGAAGTGAAGGAATTCACGTATTTGGGGTATAGACTACAAAGGAACGGAGGACAAGAAGGACAGGTGAGGGAAAGGTTGAGGAAAGCGGCGTCGATTATGGGACAGGTGTGGGGGATAGGGAAAAGAAGATTCGGAAAGGACTGGGGAAGAAGGATGTGGTTGTTCGATAAACTGGTGTGGACAGTGATGAGCTATGGGGTGGAAATATGGGGGTGGAAGGAGAGAGAGGGGATGGAAAGATTAGAGGAAAGGTACCTGAGATGGACACTAGGGGTGGATAGGAGGACGCCAGGATACATGGTGAGAGAGGAACTGAAAAGAGAAAAGCTGAGAACAAGAGCGGGGAAGAGAGCATGGAGCTTTGAGAAAAGAATGGAGAAAGGAAGAGGAAGTGAGCTGGCAAGAGAATGCTGGGAAGAAATGAGAGAAAGGGCGAAGGAAGGGAAGGTGGGCTCAGAATGGGAAAAGGAAAGGGAAGAATACTTTAGGAAAAGAGGGAAGAAGATAGAAGAGGTAGAAAAGAGGAGAGAGGAGGAAGAGGGATGGTTCGGAGAATTGTTGAAGAAGGATTGGGAGGAACAGAGGAAAGGAAGGGAAGAAAGAATGGAAAAGTCGGAATATAATAAATGGTATAAGGAGATTAGAGTAGTAGGAATTCCGGAATATTTGAAAAAAGGTTGGGGGGAGAGTAGGTGGAGGAGGGTGGCGAGGTTTAGGTTGGGAAATGAGATGTTAGAAAGTAGGTACTGGGAGGAGGAGGAAAAGAGAAAATGCAGGTTATGTGGGGGAGAGGAGGAATCATGGGAGCATACATGGGAAAGATGCAGAATAAGTAGAGAAAGGGAGAGGAGCTGGCAGGAGGTAGTCAAAGAAATTTTAGGAGAGGGAGGAGAGGGAGAAGGATGGATGATAGGGATTGAGGAAGAGAGAGAGAGGGAAGGAGAAAAGAATAGGGGGAATGGAATGAGAGAATAAGAAAGGGAGAAGAAATGTAAAGAGTAGAAAGCAATAGGAAACGGAAGTCCCGCGCGGCGAGATGTGTGTGTGTGTACTGGGGGGTTGAGCGGAAGCTAAGGGGAGAAGGCCATAAGGGCGACCCGAAGTAGAAGCTCAACCCCTTAGAAGCGTTTAGGTTAAGTAGGTTAAGTTAGATTAAGAGGATAATATAAGCGTTTTTTGTTTTATGTTGTGTTTGTTTTTTAAATTGTAACCCTACGGGGAATCAATAAAGTTTATCTATCTATCTATCTATCTATTACATCAAAAAGTTGCACTAAGTAAGTGACAACTATACAATATTTAGATAAATTTCCTATAATGATACAAATGTATAATATTGCTTTATTTTAAAACGTTTATAATATAATATATATAACAAAATAAATTCAGTAAAATATATATATATATATTTATCTGTAACGGTTCACCTTTCCCGCCGCGGATCGGCTCGCCGGTTCCAGGATTCGGGAGGAAGGGGGAGATTCAGACTCGCTTATTCCTTATTAACAATGCTTTGGTTTATTCAAAAAGAAACAAGTAAACAAAATGTTCGTTGGCATAAAGCCTGAATAGAGAAACTTATTGACTACCCGGTATAAAACAAATACGGAGGCGTATAGCCTGTAGCGGTGTCCGGAAAAGACTTACAAATTACCCGGTATAAACTTAGAGATACGGTGTACGGAGGCGTATAGCCTGTAGCGGTGTCCGGAAAGGACTTACAGGTCACCCGGTATGCGAAATCTGGAGATCGAACGTACTGAGGCATATAGCCTATATCGGTGTCCGGAAACCGGGAAGCCCGGCGTAACGACGAGAAGCCCATCGCCCGGCGTGTGTAACAGGAAGAGACCGGAAACCGGGAAACCCGGCGTAATGACGAGAAACCCGTCACCCGGTGTATAGCAGGAAGAGACCGGAAACGGGAAACCCGGCGTAACAACGAGAAACCCGTTGCCCGGCGTGTAGCAGGAAGAGACCGGAAACCGGGAAAACCCGGCGTAATGACGAGAAACCCGTCACCCGGTGTATAGCAGGAAGAGACCGGAAACCGGGAAACCCGGCGTAACAACGAGAAACCGTTGCCCGATATAAAGGTAGGAGGCCAGAAAACCGAGAAACCCGGGCGTAACAACGAGAAGTCCGTTGCCTGGCTAGGAGGTCCGGAACAGGACTGGTGCCGGCTCATCCGTCGAGCCGGCTTATATACCCTGCCGGCGGTTCCCCCACTCTGCATCGAGGCTGTGGTGGGGGTAACGCGCCGGCGTCGTAGTGGGGCGCCTCTGGGGGTTGTAGTGGGGCGCCCCTGGGGTAGGGTGACCGTGTATCGCTTTGTGTTTTGCGTTTAGGGGCGCCTTAGGCGCCATAGCCTCAAGTAGCGGGCAGGTGATCGGCCCGCGAGGCGTTAGTAACAGCCACGCCGTTACATATTTTTAAATTTAAATAACATGAATAATTATGTAATTAATTTAAACTGGAATGTATATACATTGTAAAGTTATTATATATTTTTATAAAATATTTAGATAAATAGATATATATATAATAAAATAAATTATTTAATTCAAATATATTTAAACGCATATTCAAAAAAGGTAATATAAGGCACAAAAAATTAAAATTTAGAAATTAAAAAATTTAAAATTAAATAAAAATTTTAAATTTAAATTAAAAAATAAAAGTAAAAAAAATGTGATGTACAAAAAAATACTTAGCGCTGTTTTTGTATTGTAGCCCTTTGGCTCTTTGACTACAAAACGTCCTTAAAATAATGATCAGTAC